ACGGGGAGGAGAGGAAGGGAGAGTTATCAAACATACGGGGAGGGGGGAGGAGGGGAGAGTTATCAAACATACGGGGAGGGGGAGGAGGGGAGAGTTATCAAACATACGGGGAGGGGGAGGAGGGAGGAGGGGAGAGTTATGACAGACGATAAAGAAAGAAGGGGACTTATCAGAAGAGACTCCGAGGAGGAAAGTGGAGTTATCAGAGACGCGAGGGAGAAGGGGCGAGTCATTATTGACACGGGGAAAAAGGCGGTCTGGAAAAGACACCGCGCATGGTTATGTGGAAACATGTGCGCGTGTGAATATCGGGCTTGTAACACCTATATCTATATAAAATATAATATATTTATTCACTTATTCTGTATATATGGAAAACTGTCTGTCTGGCAAACAGTGTTTATTTATCTATCAAATATGCATTTCAACTCTGTGTGCGTTATTACAACAGTTACTGCTCAAGGCGGTTACAAACAGCTAACATGTTGCCATTTCCTAAAGCTAGAAATGTCGATATATCAATAACAGCACTATGTTTTTATTATAGTCTTTATTGCACCTTACTAGCCGGGACCTTGCTACCTGCTTACTATAACGTGTTATTAAATCTGTGTGTTTTTTGACCTTGCAGTCCCAACCCGGAGGAGATCATCTCATGGAGTGACGGATTCGACAAACTCATGAAGAGTCCAAGTAAGCAACACTCTCTGTCTAAATATATGGCACGCGTACGCACAGCGCCAACGCCGCCACGTGACACACGCGCACCACACACCAGCACCACAACACACACACACACACACACACCACACACACACACACACACACACACACACACACGCGCTCAAAACACACACGACACTACATACAACACACTACGCACGCACGCACGCCACACACACACCACACACCACACACACACAGCACACACACCACAGATACATACATACATACAACGCACACGATAATATATATATATATCATATATATATATATATGATATATATATATATATATATATATATAGCTGGGGCAGGCTATGTGGCCACGCCAGATTATAGCTGTAATATATTCAGATCGATTAGTGAAGAGCAGTCAGGAAAGCGATGCTGAACGCTCAAAAGGCTCTCGAAAAAGCGTAAGATACAACAGCGGTGTGACCACCAGGGGAATCCGCGTGCGCGAGCGAGAGGGAGGAGAATAGAGAGAGAGAGAGAGAGGGAGGGCGATAGAGAGAGAGAGAGAGGGAGGAGAGAGAAGGAGAGAGAGAGAGTGAAAGAGAAAGACGGGGAGGGAGTAGGGAGAGGGGGAAAAAAAAGGGGGGAAGGAAGGGGAAAAAAAGAAAAGAGAGTGAGAGAGAGAGGTGAGGAAGACGAGAGGGAGGGAGTAGCGAGGAGAGAGAGGATAGGGAGAGAGAGGAGAGAGAGAGGGGAGAGAGGGAGAGAGGCAGGAGAGAGAAGAGAGAGAGAAGGGGTGAGAGAAACGAGAGAGAGGAGGAAGAGAGAGAGAAAGGAAGAGAGAGAGAGAGAGAGAGAGAGAGAGACGAGAGGGAAGAAGAGAGAGAAGAAAGAGAGAGAGAGAGAGAGAAAGAGAGAGAGAGAGAGTGCTGCATTTAGAAGATTGCCTATTTGTTGCGTGTCAGAATATAAACCAATGATTCCATGTCTTGCTGAAGGCGAATAAGCAAGCGCCCTACTGATGCCACGGCAACTGACTTTTGCTCCCAGTAGAAAATCGATACTTGGTAGAGAAGACGGGGTAGAGAGAGCGAGCGCGATAGGGGGAGATGGAGAGGAGGCACACTTGAGAGAGAGAGGAGAGTAGGGCGAAAGGAGAGAGAGATGGGCGAGAGGGGAGATGGAGAGTAGGGCAGTTGAGATGAGATGGGTGACGAAACAGAGAGGAGAGGTGGAGATTGCTGAGAGGAGTGAGAGAGGGGACGAAAGAGTAGAGGTGAGAGGGGGGAGATGGAAAGAGGCAGTGAGAGAGGAGGAGCGAAAGAGGCGAGCGAGACGGAGGGAGAGAGAGCAGAAGTATTGTAGTGCATAGCGGGAGGGGCCCGGAAAAGCCGGGGGAGATAGAGCGAGAGGGTAAGTAGAAAGAGAGAAAGAGAAGGGGAGCGGGAGAGGGCGTGAGGAAGAGGTAGAAAGAGAGAGAGAGAGAGAGAGAGAGAGAGAAGAGAGAAGAGAAGAGAGAGCTGTGTAGAAGGAGAATGAGAGCTAGTGAGAGAAAGGAATTGAGTAAGAGAACAGGAGAGAGATAACATGAGCGGTGAACCGGAAGAAAGAGAGAGAGGGAGAGAGAGGAGACCATCAGATATAAATATAATATATATATATATAATAAATATATGGAGAGAGAGAGATGAGAGAGAGAGAAGAAGAGAGCGCGCGGCGCGAAAAGTAGAGAGAGAGAGAGAGAGAGAGCGAGAGAGAGAGAGAGATCTAGAGATAGGAGGACGCGCGAGATGGGGACACACGTTAAGAGAGAGAGAGAGAGAGAGAGAGAGAGAGAGAGAGAGAGAGGGAGAGAGGAAGAGAAGCCTTAGTAAAACAATACTCTCGCTCTCTTGCGAAGCGGAGCTGTACTACACATTTAACGAGATCGTCGTCGCAATTCGAATTAAATTCATTCGGATAAGCGATATTCCATTAGGCTAGACTTCACGCTATCTTGTCAATTCCCCTCCCCCTCTCCCAGCATGCTTCTCCATCCCCCACCAACGCACGCGTCTTTAGAGCGAACGGCTGTTGATGCACAGGAGGTATTATCCATCTCTGGCTAGTACCACAATGACAGTCAGCGAAGTCTTAAGTGGCACGTGTGATAAACTACACTAGATGGGTGGGCGGACTCGTGCAAGACTTAAGAGGCGGAGTCGGTTTTGTATACTGATCATCAAGGCTTGACCCTTCAGAAATATGAATGAGGGCTGTACGAGGTGTGCCCGTGTAGATATACTGCCCGCGGGGGAGGGGGAAATGAGAAGCTGGTAGCCCAGAAAGAGGGGCCTAGCCATGAGGAAGAGGGGAGGGCGGTATTAATTAGGGAGAGAAGTGAGAGGGTAGTAGCCAGGGAGAGGGAAGCTATCCTAGCGGGATGGAATGTGGAAAGATCGCCCACGCGCTGCCTGGTTCCCTGATGTTCTACTCGGGATCAGCAGTTTCCGCTTTGCCGTCTAGCCAAGCATGCGGAGGCGGGACCCGACCCGCGCACGCGTGTGCCGTGCGTGTGCGCGTACCACGCTCCTGTTTTCATTGTAGCGTTTCGCGTACGTTTCATAATTATATAAATAAGCGATTACCTTAGAAACAAGTATTAGCCCGCGCTGCGACCCCCCGTGCGTGACAGCTGCTCTATTGTTTTGCAGGCGGACGTAAGGTATTCAGGGAGTTCTTAAAGATGGAGTACAGCGAAGAGAACATACTCTTCTGGGCTGCCTGCGAGGATTTGAAAAAGGAAGTCAATCCGGAGCTAGTGGAGGAGAAGGCTAGGCTAATTTACGAAGATTTTATATCAATATTGTCGCCCAGAGAGGTAAGTCTACCCCCCGAAACGGCGCCGGAAAAAATCATTTCCGTAAGAAACACTGTTACCGTTATAACGTATTTCAAATATTTAAAATTCCTAACTATAACTAAAATGGTAAATTTTGCGGCTTTGCGCGCTCGCGAAGTTTCCGACACAAATGTAAATTCACGTCAGCGGAGAATATATTCCGGAATCCCGTTCGATAGGAAGATCCAAATATTGTCGAAGAATATAAAGTTCTAAGGGGTTTTAAACAGACTCGTGATAGCGGATTTCTCGTAATGAGCTAGGCGTAGATAGAGGCATTATGCGATACAGTAGTGCTGGTCTTGCGGAATAACAAGACAAGAGCGCGATCGATAAATCCTATCGTTTTAATTGAGCGTATCAAATATGCATACACGCACGCACGCACGCACACACACACACACACACACACACACACACACACACACACACACACACACACAC